ACATTTAACATGCAAATGCAAGCCCTAGTGACTGGGACATAAATGTACATGTGGCCTTTTGTTTCACATTGACCAGTAAAAGATTAAGAATGTAATATCATGTCTTTAGGTAAATTTCACTTCTGACAATAAAAACAAGTCAACAATGCAAAGTTATAAAACTCTGATGTATCAAAAAGTATATGGTGAAATAGTGACTATTATTCTGTAAATTTAGGGAAATTAAATGCTTCATAAAATAAATGCAAGGAGCTGTTTTCACTTCTGTATTTGGGTTCTTGAGATATGAGCATATTCCAGGTTGTCAATTGCTTGAGTGCTAGGAATCACTTCAGTAAGTCTGAGGAAAATAATTTACTAGATTTTTACATTGCATTGAGAAAGCTTCAATGCTGCAAATATTAACAGAAATTTATGAGCTAAAAAAAAAGAATAATGGAATACTTTCAGTACTTGAAACTGTCTTAAAGTTTTTTTAATATCTGTATATACTGCAAAGCTATTTATTATCAATACTCAGACCTTAAATGATAAAGCCACTGAAAAAAGTACCCAATGTCCATTTCCTTCTAATTGTACAGGAAGACATGATGGTCTTAGTGTTTTATGAGAAACATTTAAGAATCATTTAATTAACAAGAGTGTAGACCTCTGCCAAGGCAGCAAAGTCTCCACCCAATGCCGTTTCACCCCTAAATTTTCATTCTATAATGATTTAGTTTTTTTTTTATTTTTGATTATTGCTTGATCACTAATCATCTGTTCCTTGGCCCACTTTTGACAGTTCCTGAAAATTTCATCAAAATCGGTCCATAACTTATTGAGTTATGCTGATGACAGACAGACGGACTGACAGACAAACAAACAAACAAACAGGGGTGAAAACGTAACCTCCTTGGCGGAGGTAAAAATAGTATGAAACATCAAATCAAAGTGCAGGGATGGGTCAGTCATGCAGAAACAGGAGAAAATCTCTTTTGGTAGGAAAACCTGGTTAGGATACCTTTTCACAAGCTGCTTTCAAACTGACCTGCATTTCGGCATTATGATCGAATCAGTCCACTAAGTTACACTGAAATAAATGTCTTGCTTTTGCATTTTCTGTTCAAAAGATTGTACTGGTAAAATGTGTAAAAAGTAAATCTAATAACTTAAGGTACTGGTAAAAGGGTTCAACAAGGCTAACATTCTAAACTGTTCTGGTGACAGAGGATAATAAAAAAGGCATAAGATGTTTTAAGTGAATTCCAAGATGAATTTTCCTGTAGTTGTCACATGCTGTAGATGTTTTGTGCTTGTTTGTCCATTGGAAACAATCAGAACTATGTAGTCGCCCTTTGGATTTCTAATGGTAGAGAGATGACTTGTCTGGCCAAATCATGCTAGGAAGGATCACTGGTACTGTCAACTAGGAAAGGAGGCTGCTTCCTGGACACTTTTTGCATTATCCCCCTTCCCTACCTGTGCAGCTGCTGCTTTCTTTTTGGTTTGGCAGATTCCTTCTTTTGTGTAAAGATACCACTTTCCTCTGATGCGATTTGTTCCCATGCATTGATGTTTCTCTGGAAACTGGATTTTAATATATTGTTTATGTCTGTTCCTCATAGGACATAGACACTGACCAAAGCTCAATTCTTGCTGGCTGTTGTCTTATTGGCTTACCAGAGCTGATTATACATGTTTCTTTTTGCTGTGCTGCTGGATGATTTTGCAGACAAGATCTGGAGCTATTTCAAAGCAAAGTCCATTTGCTTGTCTCTCACCGGCATTTACGCATCAACACAACTTTCCAAGTTCCATATTATTATAAGACGACACATTTTTCACCCTTCAAATCTTCTGGACTATATTTAACATGCAAATGCAAGCCCTAGTGACTGGGACATAAATGTACATGTGGCCTTTTGTTTCACATTGACCAGTAAAAGATTAACAATGTAATATCACTATGTATACTCAGTATATATATTTGTTGGTTACCTTAAAATTATTCAGTATCTTTTTAGTGGATGGTCACTTAAGATAAATATGTATAACATGCTAGTGATGAGCTATAGCTTCAATAGCTTCAAATTGGTGAATTATGCCTTAATACCTGCATTTCAAAATTGTGACCAGCGGCCATCTTGGATTTGAGGATCAAAATGGCTACCAATTGTCTCCAAAGCACCAAGTACATGTTCTTTACCTTTATAACAAAAAATTGTATTGAGATATATTTCAATATGGGTCATCAATATCCATGGTTTTGCAGCGTTCATACACATACCCGGTATATACCGGGGTATCTTGGTAGTCACAACATCCTCTTTGTCCCCTCAAATCACCTTCTATCACTAAAACAATATCAAAAATGACCTTTGCACCCCCAAAATAGTAGGAATCTACATATATCACATATATACAGTATGTAGGTCAAATGTTTCAAAAATCAACATAAAATAGCAAATTATGTCCACTTTCAAAATAGCGGGATGACAGCCATCTTGGATTTGAGGCACAAAATGGCCGCCAATTGCTTCCATAATATCAAAAATGGGTGATTTAGTCAGGTTTGGTAATCTAGAAATGTTTTTTGGCCAAAAATTGATGGAAATATGGAATATTGTATATTTTGGTAACTAATTTGCATAATTTATGCTAATTTATCCATTGATAGAGAGTGTCTCTATAGATAAAAAAATTATTTTGGCCCAAGGAACATTCATGCCAAGTTAGACATTTGCACTACAAAATGCAGCTTTTCGCCAATTTTTGGTCCTTAACAAGCCTACTTAACAAGGTATAAGTGAGAGCTGTAGCATGTGGGAGTTACAAACTGCACGTTGATGTTAGTAAATTTGAGGAAAATAAGTCCATAATAATTATTGCATTAACAGCAAAGAGTGCACACCAACAGGTGGTGGCTTTACGAACAGACATATTGTGTCTGTACATAAAAACAAATTATAGTTTCAACAAACCAATCGGTATAACACATTTCAAGAATGAGTTCACTAATGCATCAGAAGTACGTCTACACAAGTGATGAGCTTCTGATTACAGAGATCAGAAAGCAAGCCATTCCAAAGTAGTCTCCAAAATTATGTCAACATCAAAAGCTATATCAAATACCATGGTTAAGCAATGAAAGGCATGACAAGTGCCTTGGATCAAAGTGTGAAAATGGATCAATATTCTGAGTAGGTATCAAGTATTCTGAGTGAATACCGGTGTAGAATACAGGAAATGTGCCCAGGTTTTTTTTTGTTAAAGTTTTAACCAAAGGGCTGACATTTTATCTCATCTTGATGATGAAGACACTTAATATTATAAAACTAAGGCCATTAGGCAAAGCTTCCTCAAGGGAGCTCTCTACTATAAAATGAATCAAGGTACATGTACAAGAAAGTGTACCGGATGCTTTACTTTTATGTATCTTGCCCGCATGATTTGTAAGTATTTTCTAGTTTAGTTTCATAAGTCATATAGGTTTAAATAAGGTGAAAAAATGTTTTTCTGTTTTTACGTGTAGGTAGATAACTAAAAAAGTGGATGGTGACATTAGCTCTTAGGTAATTTTATAAAAAACTGTTGACAAATTGATTTTCTATTAAAAAAATACCAGCATCACTTTTAACAAAGGTGTCTTTTTAATACTTAAGGTTAATGAGCATTTAAATTATGTTTCAGTTCAAAGTTCAAACACACAAATTATTGTCAGAAAAAAAATATCACTTATTACATCAAGATTAAGCATGTTGCTTGTTTCAAGCCAAACCATTAAATCTTAATGATCTCTTTCCAAAAGCAATCAAACTTCACTGAACCTAAGAAATTGAATGCTGTGGCTTCTTACAGATGAACTTTGCATAAATAAAATAAAACCTTATTATTAATATTAAAATTGTAAACAATGATTTTTTAAAATAATGTAAAAACAGAAGGAATAATCAAATCATGTCATTTTTAAAAGTTGATCCAACTTTCAGGCTTTTTGAGTTTAAAAATGTAAATAAACAAATTAAAAAAGGTGTAAAATTAAAGTTTTATATTTGCACGTTACTGAAGGCATGCCATTCTAGAAACACTTTTATAGTTGTACTTCTGAATAAATCATAGCTTTAGATACTGACCAGTTCCAAGCTAGTCTACAAAAATAAAATAAACAAAAGTATGAAACCCTTTTTATGAAAATATCTAATTTAAATATACATTTAAACAACATAGCAATAGTTGAACTGGAAGATCTTTTTCATATCATGTGCCCACACTACTGTGAGCCATCCTATTTTCATGTGCCTTTAATTTTGGCCAGTTTCGACAATTGGTGCAAAGTTACCATCTAGAATTTGTTCTCATTAGTGCATTATTTGTTTTCATTAACATACTACATCACCAATATCTTAGAGACCAAACAAGTTATCAGTATGTTTCTTTCATATGACGAAAATGTTTACCCACTGGATTAATAACAAAATCATATTAATTTTGCTTTAGATATCAATTTTTTCAGAGCAACCAATTTGTGTAAAGATAAAAAGTAGCACAGAAAAAATGTAACAAACCTTTTGACATAGAGTGGCAACTTTGAAAGACTTGCAATTCACTTTGAAAGGTCATTCAGTTGGGGCCGTAGCAATAGTCCGAAGGTTCAATAGTCCGAAGGTTCATTGGTCGGAATGTTCACTACAGAACCTTCGGACCAATGAACCCTTGATTAAAAAACCGATGAAAATGTTACCGTTTTTCGGACCAATGAACCTTCGGACCAATGAACCTTCGGACCATCGAGACGCCCCCATTCAGTTAAGTATTTTATATCAACAAAAGCTTGTAAGAAGCAAAGTTAAGGTTTCAAAGCAAACTCTCTGGCCATAAAACCAAACAGATGCTGATATAACATGACCGACATGCTCTCTTATACCATATGAACAGATGATAACTCTGCAATACACTCAGCAATACTTATCTAGATAATGCACTGTATATCTATCAAATGCTAAATATTATTAACTTACCAAGACTAGACAGGCATATATCTGCAACACTTTCATTGAACGCTACTCCTGTCAAGTCTATTTCTTTTCCAACAAGAGATGGGATTTTATTCAGGTGGTCTTTGTCTCCAAATGGAAGCTGAAAGATGTGAAAAATTAGTTCCACATAAATATATAAATATCCTTTTTACTAATTGCATATAATATCTACATGCTTGTCTATCTATAATATAAACATCAGTATCTAAAACATGCAAGAACTGACAGTGCTTAATAAAGCAATTGTTATATGATACTAGTATATAACTAAATTATAATTTACATGGTATATAAATTCAGAAATGAAACAATCTCAAAACTCTCCAGGCAAATCAACCACATAATTATAACTCTTATTATTTCAGCTTCTTTCTTAAAGTTGACTAAGAAGCTCGCATTTAGCAGAAACTAGACACTAAAGATGACACACATACTGACATTAAACAAATAAATTCATAGAATTCTTGTGTATTAATAGTAAAACAAGAATATGGTTTGACAGCTATCATGTTATCAGTTAACTTTATAATGTCTCAGACGGTAGTAGCGATACTGAAGGAAACGAACAAAACAAGTAAACAGAACATATACAGTGTATGTACATAAAAAACTTGTGATGTGACAATGTGGCTTCTATTAAGACAAAATACTCAGTATCTCATGACTTACCCCAAGGGCCCCAGATTTGATTGAATTCCTATAAAACTGATCAGAAAGATCAAGACCTACTACTTCAACTGGTAAAGGGAAATTGGCAAAGACTGTCATATAAATTTGCTGTTCTCCCTGCAAAAAGGAAATTAAACATCACTCACTTGAAAATTTTCAGACTAAACAGACATATCAACTGTTTGTCTTTTTTTTCACATGCATACAATGATCAATATCTCTGCAAATACTTCAACAATTTAGATGACTCAGAGGAACTTCAGTGGTGTCATTTAACCCTTAAGGTGTTGAATAATTGTATACTAGCAAATCACATCCCGTACACTTGTTATCAAAAACTTGCAAATCAAACTAAAATTTGCAGCACAGAAAAGAAAAAAATTTAATTTAATGACTTTTGTAGCCAGCCTCCCTATAAGTGCTTAATATAAAGACCATAGACAGTCTAAAAGCACAATGCTAAAATTAAGTGTTTTGTTGTGTATTAGATGATGGCTTTCCCCAGGGCACTGCAGCCTCTGTCTAGACAATTAACTTAAAAGCAGACACAGGAACAGCCCATACCATTATGCGCATGTTGAACAAGGTGTGTCTCAATTTACAAAGGTTGATTCCTGGACAGTCATCAACTGGATCTCCAAATCCAGGCTAACTTATGTTAAGTATAAAGAATAAAAGAACAATATTGTGGAATATTGGGAACTTTCGGAATATAGCTCATTTTGTAATGAAAAAAGAGAATGACAGCAGTATACAAATTAGCAGAAGACATTTTAAGACATTTTTTCTGAAAGACCTAAGTTAAGGTATATAGCTATTTAGATTTTTGGACCATGATTTTATTTGAAATCTTGCACCATTGTGTTAGTACAAGAACTAATTTTACTAGACAGCAAAGCTGGCAAATATAGACAACTTACAGAACTAAGTTATTCGTATCATTTCATTTTAACATAAACAGACATAATGCAGTAAACAATAATTTTTAAATTTAAGATAATCTGATCATTCTGATTACTAAAAGGAACCCTGCCCTTTTACCAGACAAAACCAAACATTAAATTTAAAGTAAGACAAAAATGTGGTTTAGCAACTTAAGGCTAAAAACCAGATATGTCAGAGGGCAAACGGGACAGCCATGACATAGAGGCACAGTGATCAAAACACACACACACACACACACACACACACACACACACACACACACACACACAGTGTCTGTATATAAAAACAATGTATTATGTGACAAGAGCAGTATTTAGACAAGTTAACATAAACAGTTCGAGAAAAAAAAAACATTGAGAATGCGCCATGTTAAAAGACACCGTATCCTTATCACCTCCAGATAATCTATCCTCCCCAGACCAGTCAGCCACAGGCTGTATCTCGGCTTCACAACAAAGGTGCGAGGGATTATCATATTCTTGGGCAACAGCTCCAACAGTTCTGCAGGTGATAATAAGTTGATGATCTGCAAGTGGAATACATTTAAAATTTATTGTGATATTAAATACCTGAAGTAAATAACAACAAGAACATCATCAGTATTATTAAAATAATGTATATACAATGTACTTGCAATAAACAAAACTAATGCAACAATTTATTCATACTTTTAATCAGCTCTCACAGAAAAAATGTTCATTTCACACTGCTATAATATCAAAGTATATCTGAAATTCTCAATTGTTTATTATCATAGAGCAAAATAGGTACGTCTTTGATATGTATTCTACTGAGAACTGCTAAATAAAATGAAGGGTCATTCCAAATCATTTTTGGAAAGGATACCAAAATGATTATTTAAAGTTCAAAACACAAATTAGAAAGATATAATCACTGTATATTAAGTATAATTTTGATGACAATCTTTTAAGTAAGGAACTGGATATTTGCCTGCATAAATTTCGCAAGCGTAAAATTAAAATCACTCTCATACCAGCCACCCCCTCACATGTCACTAAGTTACTCCATAACAGTTATTTCTCACTCAATCATTTATTTTATATAAATGTTTTGAAATAAACTGGATATTTCCAACTGCTTTTCATTTTGTTCATCGCCAGTCATTTCTATTGGCATACAACATGTGTTACTTCAGTCACATACCTGGTTTGGGTTGACAAGTCCTGGTGTGTCAATGCACCATCTACTATTCTGGTAGTGATTTTCATCAAAATATTTAGGTGCCTTCTTTTCTTCTAGAGACTGGGAATGTAAAGAAACAGGGTTATCGTGAAATATATTGATGGCAACCACTCAAGAGAAAGCTTTCTTATGTGCAACCAACTTGTAGTGCATCAGAGTTGTATTCAACTTCACAATGACCTTATCTTATTTTTTTTAAACGCAAATAAATCAATACTGCAGAGCATTTTTTCTTAAGTTTTAAAGCCTATCAACTTTATCAACTAAATTCACATCATAAAAAAAAGTTAAAAATATTGTTAATTCTATATACCTTTCTGCCACTTTGTGTTTCTTCAAGGCCTGATTTCTTACTAAACACATACTGTGGACAATCGAATGGCTCGATTTCTTGGTCATCTTCAACAGGCTTTTCAGTAGTGAAGGTTTGACCAATGAAACCTGGCAAGTAAAAGTACAATATACCATGATATATTGAATATATCTCTTCTGGAATGAAGAGGAGTGACACACTGAAATAGGTTATGAAATCAACAGATTCAAATCAAAGCTGTTACAAATCTGTTAAAATGATTAGTCTTTTCCCCTATTTCTATGGAGCCAGAGATAATCCTAATCTTTATTCTCATGTCTCAATCTCAATTACCTTCACTTTTACTAGTTTTAACAGTTTCCTCACAACTTCGCAGTTTTTCTACTCTACCTACCTTCCTACATTCTATTGCATATAGTTTTTGCTTGCAAAATATATTTGATTTTTTATAGCTGTTTATCATCCAAATGTATTCAACAATCACTAAATAATTAAGGGATTACTATATGGAGTTCATGGAGTTTAGGGTTTAAATGTCATTGAAAGTAAGATGGTAAGATGGAAGTTTGAAAATATATCGATAGAATAAGACACAAAAAAGGCGGATGGTACGTAGAGACCAGAAATGTGTAAGTATAAGCAGAAACAAAATATTTTGGTATTTGTTGTGTGGAATATCAATAGGTTGTACAGGAATTTGTTAGATGTGACAGTGTGGAACATTGGTAGTGCCCATAAGCCTCTGCACTAGTTAGGCAGGCCTGTCTTTTCTTTTCGAAATCATTACCTGTCAAAGTAAGGTTTTTCCGTTTTCCATATTTTCTCCACATTTCTTTCCTCAGTTCCTCTTCTTCCTTTAGCCTTTCCTCCTGTCTCCTGATTCTTTCACTTCTCAATTGCAGTCTCCATGGTGTGATTCGTGCCATAGGGAACTTTAGAGTACCTATTGTTGTGCCTAAAAAATCATATACTACCACTGCAAAGTTGAATAAAAAGTAATGGAAATACAGTGTGAATTCAATTGAATTTGAAACTCTGGTTGGATATGGTGCACAATCAGCTTGCTAACAGTTTAATTGGTTACATATAGTTATCATATGCAAAGTCTAGGATTGTGCTTCTTTGGTCTTAAAGTGAGACCTGGCAGTGTTAGTTTACCTGGCCATTTAGAAGTGGTTGCCCTGTGGATCAGATTCCTTGCCTTGGTTTGGCACATATCTGATGACAACAGACTGTTAAACAATGTAGATTTGCCAACATTGGTACACCCTACCAGGTACACATTACCTGTAAGATTAAACTTCTGATTAGAAAAGGGCATGAAATGACACAAACATGGGTGAAAGTTGTAAATAATGAAAACATAAAGCTTGCCATCACTCATAACATTTAGATCATCTAAAAAAAACAAGGCAGCAAAGCTGTCAAATGTACAGACAAAAAGCAGGAAATAACTATGCACAAAATAGGCTACTGTCGNCTGTCTTCCACTTATGGTGTTAACGCTGAAAGTGCACGGCGACGGCGACATGATCGGCGACGGCGACGGCGACGACAGACGCAGGTGATGGCAATATGTACAGACACATCTGTGTCTGTACATAAAAAAAACAACAACAAAAAACAAGCAAAATGAAGACTGCAAATCCTAAATTCAGGTATAATCCTGAAAATTTTACCCATGCACAATTCCAATCTAGAGACTATTTCCCATGATTGATCTACTTGTTAGTCTGAAATACAATTATACTAATCAACTGCTTTCAAATACTGTTTTTCAGTCTGGGTTTAATGGGATGGAGGAGTGGGATTGATTGTTAATTTTTGTCTCCTCTGCCTATATTGATTTTGTATAGCTTCCTGCTGGCAAAATTTCTGGAAAAATAATGACAAACCCAAAAACATATTTAGTGCAATTTGACTTTGATATCTTTTGACATTCAAACCACAACATCTGTATTATATTACTTATCAAAGAGCAAACTGCTCACTATCCTGAAGGTAAAACCTAAAACATTTTACTTTTTTTATGAAAATGTGCAAACGTGCTTGCCCTAAATTGATACCTCTTTTCATGCTTTTTTTCTTTTTGGGAAAGTATACCCAATCTTCCCCAGATCAGCCACCCTCCTCCCTGGCCTGGGTTACTGATGACAACAGACAGAAAACAAAAAAAACAAAACAAAAAAAAAAAAATGCCCTAGTGAAATGATATGAGATTTTGTATTCTTACCATCAGTTCCCCATTTGTTCATGATCAAGCTGACCAATCCTTCCACACCATAACCTGTCTTTGCACTTATCAGCCTTGTATGAAGAATGGTTCCCTCACTAAGTCCAGCTTTTCTAATATGGCGCTTAAATGATGCCTCAATTCTCTCGAACCACCCAAAATAGTCCCGTGGCAATAAGTCAACTTTATTGCCCAGTATAATCAACTCATGTTGATTGCCAATGTGATCCCATAAATTATCAATAAAGCTATTGGAGAGGTCTAATAAATCTACCAATAATATCACCAGAGATGTTTTCTGAGTTTTGAGTTCTGAGATGATCTGTGGATATTCTTTGGGGGAAACTTGGACATTCAAAGCTAAATTAAAGTGTGTCATCATATGACAGCGCTGACAGTGGGCAGCTTTCCTTTCTTCTGGTTTCAACTGTTTATATCTCTGACTGGGCATGTACCCTGGAACCCCAGGGTCCTGACAGTGCAGAAGTGCACCACACCCTGTGCAAGGCACATCACTGATGGGTTCTTCTGGATCTGGTCCTCCATATAATTTGCTTTTGTTTGATCTTTTAGGGTAAACTGAGTCATCAATCTGTATTGATTCTGTATAATCTTCTTCTTGCATTATTTCTGGAGCTTGTTCCAACTCTCTAATCTCTTTTTTAAGTTCTCTCAGCTCTTCTCGCTGGTATTCTAATTTGATTTTTTTTACTTCAGGATCTAACTGTTGTTCATTATCATCCTGAAAAGACAAAATGTTATTAAAACTTTGATTCTGCTACACTTTAGTCACAAGTTGCAAGGCATGAAATATGCGCATCAACCATTGATAAAATACTCCACTGAAACTCCACTTGGACTGCATTTTGATACTTTTCCATTACTAGTAATGTCCAATGTGCATTTAACCATTTCATTTCTTTTAAAATATAAAACAGTATAGCCTAATGCATTTTCCAGTTTAATTATTTATTTATTATTTGGCCCAAACTAAAATTCACTACCAATTATGGACCAAAATAAATAAGTCTTGAATTTTAATTGCAAAATTTTTTGACAGTCAAATGCTTCACTTCATTTTTAACACAGCATGCTGAATTCATATGCCAATGTAATTGAGCATTAAGCTAATTTACTCTGATGAAAAGGTGCACTACAATAGTGCAAACACTACAGAATCTTGTACAATCTAAAATAAGTAAAAATGTCAAAAAGAAAAAGGCTTCCTTGTTTCAGTGATACACTTATGGGGCAATGTTGCCAAAATGACTTTTGAAAAATTATTCAAACTGATTTTTGACTAGAACTTGCATTTTTTTCCAAACCAAAGACACTCCGTAGTTTCAAGAAAAACAAAAGTATGCTTTGACAGTAACAGGTATTAGATACTGGTACCATAATGATGGCCACAGTAAAGACATTTCTAAAACTTTGGTTCCTCTAAATCTATACATCTGTAGATTGGGTGCATACATACATCTACAATACCCTTCTCTCCTTTAAGACCTTTGAATCTTCCATCCTCCAATATAACATCTGGCATATAACTTGCATAGGATTCTTGGGATTTCTCTAATTTCATTCTTGCTATCAGGGGCAATGTCTCAACAGGATCTGACATTTGTAATGGTGGATTCCGCTTCATCTTTTTCTCATTCTCCGCTTCTATAATCTTTTTCACCCAAATTCTTGGCTTCATTTTTATTCTGGGGTTTTTGGTTGCATTTCTCTTAGAACCATGTGAATATGGAATAGCTGTGCTGAGAAAGTGAAAGTCTGCAGACCATAGAGCCTGAAATATACACAAAATAGCATGTATACATTGAACTAAAAAAAGTTATCAAAATAGGCATGCCTGCCAAAATAGGTTTATCTGGTGATAAACNCAAAAAAAAAAAAATGCCCTAGTGAAATGATATGAGATTTTGTATTCTTACCATCAGTTCCCCATTTGTTCATGATCAAGCTGACCAATCCTTCCACACCATAACCTGTCTTTGCACTTATCAGCCTTGTATGAAGAATGGTTCCCTCACTAAGTCCAGCTTTTCTAATATGGCGCTTAAATGATGCCTCAATTCTCTCGAACCACCCAAAATAGTCCCGTGGCAATAAGTCAACTTTATTGCCCAGTACAATCAACTCATGTTGATTGCCAATGTGATCCCATAAATTATCAATAAAGCTATTGGAGAGGTCTAATAAATCTACCAATAATATCACCAGAGATGTTTTCTGAGTTTTGAGTTCTGAGATGATCTGTGGATATTCTTTGGGGGAAACTTGGACATTCAAAGCTAAATTAAAGTGTGTCATCATATGACAGCGCTGACAGTGGGCAGCTTTCCTTTCTTCTGGTTTCAACTGTTTATATCTCTGACTGGGCATGTAGCCTGGAACCCCAGGGTCCTGACAGTGCAGAAGTGCACCACACCCTGTGCAAGGCACATCACTGATGGGTTCTTCTGGATCTGGTCCTCCATATAATTTGCTTTTGTTTGATCTTTTAGGGTAAACTGAGTCATCAATCTGTATTGATTCTGTATAATCTTCTTCTTGCATTATTTCTGGAGCTTGTTCCAACTCTCTAATCTCTTTTTTAAGTTCTCTCAGCTCTTCTCGCTGGTATTCTAATTTGATTTTTTTTACTTCAGGATCTATCTGTTGTTCATTATCATCCTGAAAAGACAAAATGTTATTAAAACTTTGATTCTGCTACACTTTAGTCACAAGTTGCAAGGCATGAAATATGCGCATCAACCATTGATAAAATACTCCACTGAAACTCCACTTGGACTGCATTTTGATACTTTTCCATTACTAGTAATGTCCAATGTGCATTTAACCATTTCATTTCTTTTAAAATATAAAACAGTATAGCCTAATGCATTTTCCAGTTTAATTATTTATTTATTATTTGGCCCAAACTAAAATTCACTACCAATTATGGACCAAAATAAATAAGTCTTGAATTTTAATTGCAAAATTTTTTGACAGTCAAATGCTTCACTTCATTTTTAACACAGCATGCTGAATTCATATGCCAATGTAATTGAGCATTAAGCTAATTTACTCTGATGAAAAGGTGCACTACAATAGTGCAAACACTACAGAATCTTGTACAATCTAAAATAAGTAAAAATGTCAAAAAGAAAAAGGCTTCCTTGTTTCAGTGATACACTTATGGGGCAATGTTGCCAAAATGACTTTTGAAAAATTATTCAAACTGATTTTTGACTAGAACTTGCATTTTTTTCCAAACCAAAGACACTCCGTAGTTTCAAGAAAAACAAAAGTATGCTTTGACAGTAACAGGTATTAGATACTGGTACCATAATGATGGCCACAGTAAAGACATTTCTAAAACTTTGGTTCCTCTAAATCTATACATCTGTAGATTGGGTGCATACATACATCTACAATACCCTTCTCTCCTTTAAGACCTTTGAATCTTCCATCCTCCAATATAACATCTGGCATATAACTTGCATAGGATTCTTGGGATTTCTCTAATTTCATTCTTGCTATCAGGGGCAATGTCTCAACAGGATCTGACATTTGTAATGGTGGATTCCGCTTCATCTTTTTCTCATTCTCCGCTTCGATAATCTTTTTCACCCAAATTCTTGGCTTCATTTTTATTCTGGGGTTTTTGGTTGCATTTCTCTTAGAACCATGTGAATATGGAATAGCTGTGCTGAGAAAGTGAAAGTCTGCAGACCATAGAGCCTGAAATATACACAAAATAGCATGTATACATTGAACTAAAAAAAGTTATCAAAATAGGCATGCCTGCCAAAATAGGTTTATCTGGTGATAAAAGAGAATTAAAAACTGCAAATTCGGAGTTTGTTGGACAAAGTTTCATTTCAGAATATCTTTAAACAATATAAACGAGCATTATTGTGATGAGATAGTAAAAATCAAGGGGTTGGCACCGGAATGATTTAGAAATTACATTCTTCAAAAAGCCAGATATGCACAAAACTGATGCCAAACCAATGAATGCAACTGCTAAAGGCATGTCACCTGTTCCAAGCAGCTAACGCCTTATTAATTGATCTATTAATATATTTACAGCGTTATAAAAATATTCCCTGACACCCTCCCACTAACATTTCTCGAAGTCCCAACTTAGATAAACTGGCAAAATCTTCAATTAACGGCACTAGACTTGACATTCTTCAGGATTTTCTTGGCTACTGATACTTCTTTCAAAATTTAACTTGAAACCTTGCTGTACCTGCGACAACTGAAGTAAGATCTCATACTTTCACGGTTTCATCTTTCAGTTACCTCAAGTGCTAGGCAAGAAAAACGAGCCACCGACTACACTACAGCATAACTAATCAACTACCGTACGCAGCAAGAGTGTGTTTGGGCTTCTTTCTTTGAAATATAAAGGATTTTACTTACACCAGAGGAGGAAGTACAGGACCGATTAAAAATTCTTTGCATTTTCAGTTATTAACAAAAATTGTTACTACACCGACAACACGTTGTCGCTTTCTTTGTTTCCGGAAGTGGTGACCTATATAGAGGAATGTTGGGAGAGAAAGAAACGGGGTTACACACTCAGTAAACGTTGTACACGGTAAGTCCGAAGAAATATCCTGTTTTTCGCTGTTTTGATTATTAAATAAAGTGGTTTATTTTGTATTTTGAGAAATATTGCTCCCCATGTGAAGTTATAATATAGTTATAACTTATAACGAGGTGCATGCCTAGTCCTTTATGTAGTAGATCTACTCGTATGGTCCAAACATTTTGTATATATCAGTCATTATTGATGTACTGGTGGTATGTGTTTTGGTACACATATCTGAGAAAGAAAGTTGTTTGGATTTTTTTAGCTTTTTCATTCAGATCAAAAGTAATTCAATTGATGGCTGTCGATCTACTTTATTCTTAGTCCATTTAAATTTTGAAAATGGGTCCATCTACGGGATCCATTCTTACACTTCTGTCTTGAACAAATTGGTGAATTATTGCAATCACTTAATGTATTGAGCAAAATTTCAAAGGGCTGCCAGATTTATTTATCATGATTTCATATATTTTAATCCTGGTTCTGCGATCAGGAAGTTCAGCAGTTTGCAACTACAGGAGCAAAGGAAGGAGCTGTATTTAACTTTCTTTTTTTATTTGCTTTTCCATTCTAAGTGTTGGAGGGTTTGGTTTTATCATTCCAATTTATGGATTTTGATATGTACATGCTATTTGTGGAAACGCACGAAAGACATAGGTGTACATAACTATTAAATGCTAGCCTGCTAAGTTGTTGACTGTGTTGATTGTACACAAATTATATGCTGCTTGGAAAGCCACCAGTCTTGCCAAGAACCTTCATGCTAGGTTGGTACCAGCTATACTTTTTGACTCTTACCCTACTCCAATAACAATCAAACAGCATATTTATGCAAATGTATTTAGTCATGGTGAATCTAAAAGCATTGAGAGCCCTTCAGCTTTACAGTAGTAGTAGTAGATGTTTTACCTTTCAGCCAGCCAAGGCACATATATACATACTGTATATTCATCGAATTCTTTGTTTGCATTATCAAAGCCAGCTAGATGAACTTATTATGTGCATGATTTCTGTGGAGGGTTCTTGTATTGGCTCAGACTTAAGTATATACCTGTTAGTCATATGTCAGAACTTGATGAAATCTGCCATTCACACAAAAACAGAAATCACATGCAGTTTGAATGTACAAGAACTAAGAAATAAGATGAGAATACAATATGCATTAAAGAAAAGGTGGTGTGGAGTAATTCCCAAAGTGCCAAGTTTTGTACAAAAATGAAATTTCACTTTTGACAAATAGATGAATTGAAAAAATATTATTTTTACTTTTTTTAGAAATTTGGTGGCAGTTGGAACAAACATCTGAACAATGTCATTCCAACTTAACATTCCTCCCTCTGTGGTCAGCAAACTGGCCAAGTCAGAGGATGGAGACAATGAACCCCAGAAGAAAGGACGAGAAGATTACAAGAAGATGAAGGAATTAGAAGAGGCAAGAAAGGCTGGTACTGTGCCTGCTATGCAGGATGAGGAAGGAAAGTAGGTGTCAATGGGGATAAATTGTTGTGAAAATAATTAGAAAGTGGAAAGGATTTTATATTTGTATTTTTTACTTGTAATTTTACCCATATGCCATTGAGATTATTGTTATTTTAGAAGCATGGTTTTGAAATGATAAAGGTTAAAAAAGTGCATTTTGTACTAGATATACTACACTATACTATAGAAATTTGTTTTGACCAAACTGCTGAAATATTTGAGTTAAAGCAGTGTGAATTTGACAAATTGGAAAAATAAAATTCCTTTGTTCATGAAATGTGAATTATGGAGTTGCTATTATTTTACCTCAAACTGAAGAAGCCTGTGTTCCTGTTTTCAGAGATATCAATCCTCACATTCCCCAGTACATCATGCAGGCTCCCTGGTACTTTGGCTCTACAGTCCCCACACTGAGACATCAGAGACCTCAGGCAGAGAAAGAGAGGAAGTTTGCAGCTATGGATCAGTGGTACAAAAAGGGAGTGAAAGAGGTATAGTACCATACTATTATCTCCTTTTACGCTGTCGTGCGTCTAGGGCATCAACTAAGATCTTCCACTGCTCTCTGTCAGGAGCTAGGTGTTGGATGGTTCTGCAGGTTTCTCCCAAGTGTTTCAACTCTACTTCCACAGTCCTTCTCCATGTGGTCTTAGGTCTGCCTCTTTTTCTGTGTACTGAAAGAGGTATAGGGGATTGGATATATAAAGTACATGAAATAAATTTTACGGTACAGCAGTGTTAGTATTTATAAGTACTTGTATCTGTCACTCCTTGCATTTTGGTTAATCAACACTTTTGATGTGAATAAATTTTCTTTATTTTTAGTACATAAAGGTAATTTTTAATTGCTCGGAAGTAAGCACACTATGCATTGATATTTGAACTACTTAATTTTTGCACTCTTTCCATTTTATTTTTTCTTTTTGTAGGGTCCTGTTGCTACAAAGTTCAGAAAAGGAGCTTGCGAGAATTGTGGTGCCATGACACACAAGAAGAAGGATTGCTTAGAGGTATGCCATTACTATCCTTATTAAATTCTAGATCCAACACTGGAAATAAGATATAAGGCAGTGGTAAATGCCATGCTTAAGAGGACAACAGGATTATGGCTTTAAGATACTATGTTCTACATTGAAGGGTCCCCTGACAAATTACATAGAATTACTGTCCAAACTTAGAAATATTCTGATGTGCGTTTCAAGACCATATTTTCTTTGACTTGTTTTCAGGTTATCAAATGTGTACATGTATTTTTTTACTCTTTCTGCTTTTAAGCATGGGACAGTTATTTCATTAAGGATGTAACATGCCTCTGTTGCCAAGGAAAAAGAGGAAGATTTTAGGCAAATAATGGTCAGCATGCTGTCTTTTTATAGGGTGTTAACATTATGCTTACTGATTTTCAGCGACCAAGAAAGATTGGAGCAAAGTTTACAGGAGATGGCATAGCCCCTGATGAGTACATTCACTCAGAGCTTTCTCATGACTATGATGGCAAGAGAGATAGGTGGAATGGCTTTGATGTGGATGACTATTCCAGAGTTTATGAAGAATATCAAAAAGTAGAGGAGGTAAGAGTTATCCATTACGCAGAAAGTTAAAGTGACCCACAGTGCTTATGTGGCTCTAATTATTTATAAGAAGTGTGGCATTTTTAAGAATATTGACCTTTCATCTGATACATTGTCTCCCCATATTGTAAAAAAATAAAAACTGTGTATTCAAATATTAATAATCTTTTTTAGGCAAAGAGGCAACTGAAAGCACAAAGATTGGATCAGGCCTTGATAAGTGGAGAGACTGAGGTGATTGAATCAGTTGTAAGTAGATTGCCGCTTATCTCTGTTAAATAATCATAATTATTTTTTTTGTGCTGAAATAATTAAATTATTGATATATGATTATTACATATATTTGATATCATTTGGCATGTTTGAATAAGGGTATTAGGGACCTCAATAGAAATTAAGTAATTTCCATATTTTATTTCTTTTTTTTTTTCATGCTCTTTATGACCAAATATCACCATACAATTTCAAACAGAATAACTTGAGTAAATAACACAATTTCTCAAAAATGATATTTGAACATATATTTCCTGGCTACTGTCTGCGTTTTACGGACTAGAGGAAAAATAAGTAGGTCAAATTTATGACCAGAAGTTTGATGAAGATGCAGTCTTAAAGCCTTTTTGTGCTACCCAAAATATGTTTTGCCATTGTAGAAAGATGCAGATGATGAAGATGAAGATAAGTATGCAGATGATGTTGACATGCCTGGGCAGAAATTTGAAACAAAGCAAAGAATCACAGTGAGAAACTTGAGGATAAGAGAAGACACAGCTAAGGTAGGTATTGGTGTATACCAAGTTCTGTTTGTTTTCATAATACATAAGTATATACAACTATATCTTAGTAGAATGTGTAAATTTTGAGTGATTTAAAGAATTATTTAGACTTCGTGGACACCAACATTTTAAAATCTTGAACAGTGAATCATTCAAGCCCTAGTATGTCTACATGTGTGCTGTCTAATATGATTTGAATATGATGCTGACAGAAACAAATACTTTTTCTTCCAGTATTTACACAACTTGGATCCTAACTCTGCATACTATGATCCTAAGACCAGGTCTATGCGTGAAAATCCATTCAAAGGCACCTCAAAGGAAGCACAGGAGTAAGTTCATGAAGTCCTTTTTATAGTGTGTAATTTCCCTGATGTTATGACCGTGAGACAAAGACCCTAATTGTTTTGGCATCAAGTTAATAAAAAGATTAACATGCCTATGTTTGAGCATAATCCACTTTTTATGTACAGACACTGAGTGTCTATACATATTGGCATGCCCTGTGTCTGTCTGTACTGCCAGACTGGTAGTCTTTGGCATATTTTGTTACCGCAATAACTGAAAAACAATGTTACCATTTTGCTTTTATCTCAGTGGAATTGCTCATTGTCCTGAAACACAGGTCAAGTTCGAAACTGGACATGATCCAGTTATTACTTAGATATTTTTAATTTTATAATTATTTAATAATTTGTTCTTCAAGCAAATTAGTAAGTAGTGCAGTATTTACCACATTTTAAAAAACATTGTGTGAGTGAGAGTCTTAAAACTGGAGTCACAGGTGTCTGGATGGACAGACAGCTCTGATTCATAATGTTTCTAACAGTTTAAATCTACATAGATACACTGAAATATATGGCTGCATTGTAAATGTTGCTGGTTTTGATGACGATGACTTTGTTGAAGCATTCTCTATAAAGCAGAATTGTGACACTGGGCTGGCAGAGTTTGTATCTTGTGGTATTATTTTGCCAGTTTTTTATGTTTAAACTGATGAAGAGTGTCTCTACATTTGTAAGCTTTTTCTGACTGTTTGTTGTGTTATTATTCCTATTAACTGTCTTATTTCTATATTGGGAAACTAATTTGCTGTTTTGCTTCAAACTCAATGGGATTTCTCATTGCCCTAAATGCCTTTGAAGTTTGTCAGGCTGATATAGACTGTCTGTGCATTATTGCATGCTTAGCTGGCTTGTGTAGATATGTATATTTCTATTTATATCACAAGAAATGGACCTAGGTAATGTAGAACATCTTCATTTCAGACACTTGTTCGCAGGAGACAACTTTGTCAGATATTCTGGAGATGCTACCAACATGGCCAAAAACCAAAGTGAGTAACGCACGCATGTATTCACACACACACACACACACACACACAATTGTGAAATTGGAGTTTGGCATGGTTTTGTTGTGTTGTTTCAGTACTGGTAGTATTCACAACAGTTTAGTTGGTCTTATTTACTTGGGGAGGGGAGGGGGATGTTCAAAAACCTAAATATCAATTCGGAGAAAATTGAGAGGAGTTTTTATATGTTGAGCACAGAATTCTATAACACAAAAATTATTTTCAGGTGACCCTAAAAGCTTAGGTGTGAAATTATTGAATGTTTTGTCAATATTTCAGTGTTTGCATGGGATGCCTATGAAAGAGGAGCTGATGTCCACTTGCAAGCCAACCCCACACAGCTTGAACTGTTACACAAAGAGTTTGACAAGAAAAAAGATGAATTCAAGTCTGATGTCAATGACAGCATCCTAGACAAGTATGGTGGAAAGGAACATTTGGAAGCTCCACCAAAACAGATGCTGCTAGCACAGACTGTGAGCAAACCTAGTTCAGCTAATCGTCTAATGCTTGTTATATTATCTGAGTTCAAGTTTCATTAAGAGTTACAAGAGTTAGAAGAAGAGTTAGCATACTGCAGTATCACGCTTTTGTTCAAATCTAATGTGAGTGAAAGATTTGTAAATAAGTTTTTTATTCAAGCTTTCTTTGCCTTTCTTTAGAGATTCATAGCATTCTTGGTTTCTTTGAATTCCAGGAGGAATATGTGGAATATTCCAGGCATGGCACAGTGATCAAGGGAAGAGAAAAAGCCATTGTAAGGTCAATATGGGAAGAAGATGTCTATATCAACAACCACACAGTAAGTACATTTAATGGACATATTCTATTGACGAACATTTAGATTTTGATTATTATATACAAACACTGTAAGTGCCTGTATATACGTCTTATTACCTGTGTCTGTCCATGTTGCCATTGTTGCTGCCATCATCCCACATCGTTTGGTCACACTGTACCTGCTTAACTCTATTTTTGTTTTTAAATTACTTTGAATTTGTAAGGTTTTGTTTGGTAGACCTCTGGGGTTTGTTTTATTTAAACCTGGCTAGTTGTGAGATGACATCACCTAAGGGCTACCCAAATGCAGAGCATTCAAATAAAGAGCTTGAAAAGATACAGCTACATCAAAGGCAGTAGGTCTAGTGATTGCCAAAAATCCCGTACAAATCTGAAAGATCAAATAGTACCAAAGTGGAAAGTTGTACACTGATGTCCACAATAATTTCTCCTAATGTGCCAAGTACAAGTTACATTTGATGTCATGAAATCCATTGTAGCGTCTATGAACATTTTTCTCTAACTAAAGTATAGAACTTGTATGGTTTAGTAAATAGAATTTCCATAGCAGCAAATTTGCCTGGTTTCAATTTTTTTTTTTTTTTTTGTAAATGAGTATGTTTATAAGCTTCTTTTAATTGAAACTAGTAACGTTTATAATGAAGGCCAACTTAAAAAAAAACATCTAATCCATCTTGTCATTGAATGTTTCTTTTGATTTATTTAATGTATGTGTGTATCATCCTCATTGTCTAATTTTTAGCAAGTTATCTATGTACAATTTGGTCACTGTCTGTTGATTTTACTTTAATATTGCTTGGTTGATATCAGGCTTGCTTGTTATGCATTATGCTAACTGTACATTGTATTTCAGAGTGTTTGGGGCTCATTTTGGAAAGAAGGGAGGTGGGGCTTTAAATGCTGCTACTCTTTTATCAAAGAATCTTACTGCACTGGTGAGGCTGGAAAGTTGGCAGCTGAGGTAAGGTTTAGATTTTTATTTTGGTTTTGAGTCTAATTTTAAAGTGATATATTTTCCACTGTAGAAAAATAGCAAAAGAATATGGCAATGACAATTGCAGGGGTGCTTTTCCAATAAGATGTTATGTATGCAAATGAAAGAACCTGATTTAATGACTTGAAATTTATTCAAGATTTTGTAGTAACTTTCTGAACTGCATTTCTTCAGTCATCCATGCCTGCTCTTACCCATGGAGATGCAGACCTGGAAGAAGAGGAAGAAAAACAACCGAAATCTTTAGTAGAGGTACAATTTTAGCAAGGTTATTCTACCTTGGGAATTTTAAATATCCTCTTAAAATTTGAAAGTTATTTTGAAATTTAACTTGAGATATTAACCTATAAACAAAAAAGGTATAATTTATTCAGTAATTTATGTTTATTGACAATAATTATTATATATTTAATATTTGCAGCAACATCAAGAGAGGCTTGAAGAAGAGAGAAGGAAAAAGAAAAACAAGAAAAAGAAAGATAAGAAAAAGAAAAAGAAGGCACACAAAAAGAAGCGAGACAGCAGCAGCAGCAGTGACAGTGATGAAAGCGTGGATGAAGAGGAAGAAAGAGAGAAGAAGATAAAGGAGGTATGTATCTTGTCATTACATACTAGGTATATTTTACTAATATTGTTTTAAAAAATAATCCCAGTTAACTAAGTTTTGAGGAATAAAAATGCTGAATTTCATTATTTTTTCTCTTAGGCTATCAAGAAGGAAGAAGCAAGACAAAAAGAAGTGGAGAGGTTAATGGCCATCCCAGAAAGGAAACGTCCATATAACAGTGCATTTATGAATGACACTGCAGAGCCCACAGAGGAAGAAATGGAGGCTTACAGGAGAAAGAGGAAAAATTTTGAGGATCCCATGTCAGCCTTTACATGATTATATAACATGGTTTGGGTCAAAAAGAACTTGTGATAATTGAACTGGGTGGACATGCAAAACCCCATTTTCTCATATTCAGTGCTGAAAAATAACAAGATATGAAGAATGTTGTTCAGGTGGAATTATTTACTGTGTGCTGAGCTTTGGAAAGAATTGGCATGTGGCAGGTCAAAAAAAAACAAAACACTAAACTGTGGTCTAATAAATCCAAAATTACAAAATTTCTTAAGCTGTACCACACTGGTGCGTTGGTTATATATCAACCATTAATTTGCACTCTTTCATTGTATGGGGCATCAGGAAAGTAACAGGGCTGGTATCACAAAAAGTTAATTCCAATTTAAAGTTTTCGGTTTACCCCTTCCAGGCCCGTAGCCAGCAATTTCAAAGGGGGGGTTCTTTTTCCGAAAAAGTGGACCTTTTACCATATAATCCCCATGCACCTAGGTCAAATTTTACCCAGAGTGGACGTTTTTCCAGCAAAAAGGGGGGTTCTTTCGAACCCCCCGAACCCCCCCTGGCTACGGGCCTGCCTTCATTATGTAATCATGATAGCCCTATGATGAGATTTATCCCTTTGATGAGTGGCACTAGCAGTACATACTCAGGAGGCAGCATCACTTTGACCTGTACGGCATTTGCAGAAATTCAGACATAAGGATGGAAGAAAAGCAATGATGCAAAATTTGAACTGCTATTTTACTTTGGGAATAACTCCCATCTTTTAGTGAACCAACTGCATCTATTCAACAGAACAAAAATAGGCAATATATATATTTAAATTATAGTTTCTTTGTAATATAATAATGCACTGATTTTAGCTGAATAATAACTTATTACTGGAAGACATTTGTTACAGTCAACATCAAACACCGTAGTTGATAGATTTTGTTCTTATCAACGTAATGATGTATTCTTTAACACAGTAGGTGCAAGAGAAAGAAAAATTCCACATGTTCTAGTTTTGGGTCTGCATAATTAAGGCTATTAATCTACATGAAATGATATCAAAGCAATCTGATGTACATATTATCACTGATTATATTAATCAGAGATAATACCAATCTGTGTCTCCACATCCCAATTTGCTGGAACTTTTCCTGAAATTTAAATAATGACTACCCATAATAATTCTGAATACTGCTGACATTTTACCCTAAACTGGAGTTCTATAACAACCCATTGATTGTCTGCTGTCAGTAAAAGCTCTGACCTATATGTAGTTCTTTACAAAGAATGTCAATGTTAAATATTTCATTTAAGTACAAATACTCCAAATAAAAAAATGAATAATTTCTGAATAAATAACATTTTAAACTGAAGCTCGATGACACTCAGTAAGTGTAAGGTTGCATTTACACATTGCCTCTGGTTATGTTATTATACTTTCAATAGCATTAACAATAAATAGTATATAAATAATATTGTGAATTTCAACATTGTTATGAAATGGCTTCACATCCTGTCAGGGGATGGACCTTCAATGCCTCAAGACTTCTCCAGATATTTACCATTGAGTGTTTCATTATGTTTACTTGTCTATGTAATATACATGTATGTAAAGTTTGTGTTTAGAGAGCCTGTAAAATGCAACTGGCAAACAATTTAGTGCTCAATAAAGTTATAATGGTGTTCTTACAACGGTGATCATGTAATAAAAGTTTATATCACCCAGCCATGATAGAAATCTGTAACAAGCAGTCAAAAACAACTTTAATTTTGTCATGTTCCGGCTTATCACAGATTTTTTCTAACCATTGTAATTTATGTTGCTATCTGATGATAACTATCATTTAGCAGTCTAACAGCTCTTTGACCTATGTCGCAAACTTGACTTTACACAGTTGCCCATCACATCCAATTTTAGCAGTCTAGACTTGGCCCAAAATCTGTAGATTTATTGTGAAACTGGACCCAGAATCTTTTGTTGAGAATTAGGTGACATTAATAAACAACAAGCTTTTTCTTAGTAGTTATCTGATCTGCATATTTCTGTATACATTGTATTGGGGGACCTAGCCCAAATATGTGCATGTTTAAAATGCTATCAATATGTTCAGCATGCATAAACCCACTTGGGTCAAAGGTCTGATTTTGGCAAGACTAGACATCAAATTGCACTGGATAGGGAATCCAAAGCCATTAATGTGTTTAAACATAATATGTCATCTCCAAACATAAAGCACATTTCAGGAAAATATTTTTAAAGCATTACTTAAGAAGCAGAAGTGAAAGATATTTTCCAAATAATCATCAACTGAGAACCAGTCACAAGCAAGTTTCATAATCCAATACATCATCAGTACATATATTCTTCGTTTCAGTTTCTTCTGATATTTTTTCTGCGGCCATGTCTAACTTTGTACCTAATTCTGCTTTTCCCCCCAAATGTTTATCAGCATGAATCTCTTTAACTGATGATTGGGAATATTTATCTATGTTTTCATTATCTGCTGCCAATTCTGCTGTTGTTGATGTGGGTTCTTCTGCAGTGACAGGTGGGACAGGGACAAGGGACAAATTGGTCTCTCTTAACTGTCTCTCCAACTCCTGAGTTTTACTGGCCAACATCTGTGCTGCAAGTTTTTGATGAGCCAAGGCATTACTTTTGTCATTAAGCTGAAACAAAAATTATCATCAACATTCCATTTCCTTCATACCTTTTAACATGTTGCAGTAAAATACAGGGCTACTAAATTGCCAATAACATATTTTATCATTCAAAGAACACTTGATTGGTTAAAAATGCCCTAATTTGGGATAACACAGAGACAATTCACCTTTCTACAGATAATGTCACAAATAATGTGCCAACTATGTTATGCATGTTGCATTTTGGTATATGAGTGTGTACCTGCCTCATACAGTGGAGAGCTAACACCACTGATAATATTGAAGGCTTACCATATCCAATAGTGACTGAATGAGCTCCTGTTCACTAGAGCAGTTGATGTTCACTCCTTTTCCTGAGATTGTTATTGTAGTAGGGGGAGCCTGCTCTTGTGGTAGCATACTGGATGGGGGTGGCAGGTTTTCTGAAATTCAAAGAATATGACTCTGCTGTAAGCAACTAAAGTGTAAGTGTATAAGTATAGATAAATTGTCTGTCATTGCCATACACTTTCCTGGATTTCCTGAAGTGCCTGTACATAGAAAAAAAATTTTGGGGGGTTTACAGAATAAATACCCTAAACGGAAAGATTCCACGCTCTGACCTCACATATTAAATGTTCTACAGTACAAAAATGTCTTCATTAATACATGTTTTGGGTGACTTTCCACAACAATCATACCTTTTATATGTTCCAGGCCCTTATGACAATTTTTGACAATCCATTTTAAACACATTCAGGATTACACTTTATATTATCGTGTGCCATTTATTACTAAACAAATGTTTGTACATGTACAAAGCTGTAGAAAATTAGAAAAGATGTTATGACAGAGATTCCAAGACATTGCTGCTCTTGTGAGTGTTTGTGTATATGTGAATGTTATATTTATTTAATGTTATTTTTTATGACTTGTGCAATTCTATTTATGTCTAATTCAACCAATTTATATTTTAACAATGATATTTTCATACATTATAAATAAAACCTAAAAACATAGCATGCACCAATGCCAAACCTTCAGTTAACTGGCCAGCTATCCACTTGATCACATTTTTCACTTTAATTTTCTGCTGCTGTGGTGGCATAGTAGCCAGTTCCGTGATTTGATTAGTCAACAGTTTGTTTCGGTTCAGCTGTTCTTCAAATGCCACACGGTAAGCTTCTACTGTATTGTAAGCCTCATCGCGCCTCTGTTTGTGTGTATCAACCTGTTGGTGAACAAAATAGCAGTTTCTTTTAGATTGGAAATGAACACCTATTAGCATGGATATGGATAGGCTTTTCATTATATATGCCAATAAAGATTATCAATATGTAACCAAAATGCTGCAGAGTTAAATGGCTTTGTCACTTAATGATTTATTCAATGAAGGTCATAGGTTTGAGCAGCTGGGTTAGAATTACAGAAAGGAATTTTTCACAACGCAAGTTACTTAACAAATATACATCTTTCATCTGTGAAAATATTGACCTACCTCCTCTTTTAATCTTACTAGTTCCTTATTAAGATTGGCGGCAGCATGGGCACAACCACAAGGCTCTGGATTGCTGACTCGGCAATGACATGCTCCCAATATTGATAGCTAGTAAGAACAACTAAAGATTATTCACACACATGGCTTAACTGACAAACACTTTTAAGTTAAAACTGTTTTTTTTTCCTCATAGTGTAAGTTGTTTGAGAGAGAGAGAGATATGGCAGGGCAGTTTATGTTTGTTATTCCTTACCTCATCAGTTGAATAGTCATTGTATTTCTCTTCCGCTTGAGCATGGATACTTTCATATTTGTTGCGTTCTTTCACATCCATTAGTGCCAGAAGTTCATCTCTTTGACGACTCAGACCTGAAAATTACAAAATGTGAGTATATTGCTTTCTTTAAGACTTGGTTTTATTTGTGCTTGTGAGCACTTGTCTTTTTATGTTATGGTTTATACAACTTCACAAGTGCCTGAACTGATATGTCAGTAGAGAAAATTTTGCCATTTTAAGAGTGAGGTCTGTGCATGCATTCATAATGGAAGTAAGAGTTTCTTGAATTTCATTTTGTGTATTATCTGCAGGAGTTTACCCATTTTTTCAGCTTGTAATTTCCGTATTTCTTCTGCTTTTCTATCTAAGCAGGCTAGGAGACATGAATTTTCTTGGCACACCCTGAAGAACATTTTTCAAACAATCAACTGAAACAGTTTTGATATGTATGCTGTAATAAAGATTGAAACAATATTCTTGGCACCTGTAAAAGGAAAGAGTCAAAAACTCAGGTTATGTAAAAAAAGAAGAGTCTACTTTCAAGCACAATAACAGTAAAAAATAAATAAATAAAAAATAAAAATTAATAAACAACTTTAACCAAAAGAAAACTTGACTGCAACTTTTTGTGACTACTACTGATTCATCTTTGTACAAGGAAATTAAACTCTCTGCAAAAATTTCACTCAATATGGCTTTTGTAAAACAACAAACCTGCTTGCATAGTGAGAAGCCAATATCTGAATTCCAAGGCTACTTGGAAGATATACTTTAAGCTTTTCAAAATGAATATATTTCACAAAGAAAATTATCCTTACATTGAAAAGAAAATGTAGGTTGTTTCACAAGGGTGAAATAAATTATAATGTAACAAAAAGTGCAAATAAAGTCTCTTGTTACCAGTATTTCACAGAAATGAATATCAGAATATTAAAACAGACTTGGCTGGATTTGAGAAGTCATTAAGAAGATACTTTTAGAGCACACAGCTTAAAGGGTGCAGCAATACATACACAAACACATCTCAAGTACCACACAAAAGTAGTTTCATCTTAGAACATAACAGATCTTCAGCAATACAAAATAGGTGTTTAAACTGTATGGCTAGATACACAATTTTAAAGAACTTTTGAAGACAAAAACCTGAAAATCTGAAAATTCTAAAGTACAAGTACTGTTGCATGGTACAAATATTACCTATCACACTTTGTCTGTAGATCTTCCTCTCTCTTTTTCCTAACAAGTGGTTGTGCTTTAGGCTGAGAGAGAGAGTGCACCTTCTCCACCTTAGCCCTATCACCAACAGCATGTGGAGGCTAGCAATATATGGGGAAAAACTGCCAGTTCTAAACATAGCCACAATAAAAGCCACCAAAGCAGAAAAACAAATGCCAACAAAACACTGTAATTCATTAAATTAAGTGTCTTTTCTGCTATGAGTGAATATTCCTTTCACAGTTTTACTTAATGAAAGTTATTTTTCACATTTCATTTGAGGTACAATTACTATAGCACAATATATACTCAAAACTTGTTTTTTATATCAGGGCAAATATCATCTCTAAGGCCAGACAAATTAGATATGTAGGTTAATAAATGGTAATTCTTTGCAAAGAAGGTCCATGAATGGAATTCATTTTTGCTTTCAATATGTTAACATATAATGAAAAGGGGGAGGAAATGTAAAATCCACTGTGTGGATAAAATTAAAAGCATTATTATTATTGAGGTGTTTCTGCATGGGTTCAAGGGTTTTCACACTCACCAAACCAATGTCCAATACGCCTTTTCCATTTGAAAAAAAAATGATTTCCTGAGAAATTAGGATCAGTCATGCTTGTTAACCAATCTATCAATTTTGTATGGCCTTAAGTATTTAAAAGATACACAATTTCCCAGATATAAAATTTCAGGATGCAGGAACATATCAAGCATGCACATGAGGGCGTATCGTTGCCACAACGAATTAATCCCTCTCCTCATTTCACTTCTGTGTGTTTTGCTAATAATGTTACCCCTCTGCCTTTGTATATGAATCCAAACTTCAATATTGCCCACTAAAAATTGTACACACTTTCAAGGCCTAAAATGCAGTGCAATAAAAATGCTGTAACTAGAAAGAAAAAAGTCTAAGTTTGTTATCCAATGGAAGCGCGCTAGCTTTTTCCAGTTCCAAAACCAAAGGCAGGTTTACATAAAGCAAGAGTACAGCCTTACCCAAATTCAATATCATATACCATTAAGTTCATCTTTTACAAGTTAGTGCTAATAAATCAGGTGTAAAGTACCATATTTTTGTGAATGTTAGATCAAGCCAAGGGAGTATGTACACATGCCACTTCTCAAATCAAGACAATCATGCAAGGCAAGGCACAGTAACTCAGTAAACAAAGCAATGCACATAATTAATTCAAGTGGGTTTGTACCTATTTAGCTTGTAAGCCCACTCTTGCTCACTAGCCACATAGTTGGATTGTTGGCATGCCAGCTCATACTCAACCCTGCTGATTTCCTGGAAAAAGCATTAAGTGATTGCAATCATGACTTTCTGAAACATCTCACAGCGTATGCTGGTAGTCACTGCTTCTGTGAAATCCTGGAAATGCTGTGCAATTAATGCATGCAGTTTTTATTTAGAAGGGTGTGTAGCTTTTTGGTGACAATAAGCCATCAAATGTGTGCACCTTTAGGTCATTTGGAGAGATTAATCATTAGGCGTTTTTTGTAATTCTTTATCAATTCTGAGTAAATAAATTGATTTCCTCTCCTAAAAATTTTCCTCTATAATAAACAGAATTCTGGATATAATCTCGTTGTACAAATACTCTTTGGTCAGACTTTCATATCAACAAAAAAAACAATTAAAGTGATTTTAAATATTAATTTAACATATCTCTAAAAAAAATAATGCAATGTCACTCAACTAAAATGCAATATATAAAAAAATGAATATTTTAAAGCCTACAGATATGTTGAAAGGCTAGAGCACAGTTCATATTATGTTAAATGTGTGTAGATCATGCAGAATTAATTTGCAAACATTCTGTTGCAGCAGCAGGGACAGGTTTATTAAATAAATATACATGCATCCTAAGGTCACTCATGTATGATTCACTATTCTCTCTTATCAATCTCTATAGTCTGGATAAGTACTGCAGTCAAAATAGATTACTCAGTATTATTTAAACTTACTTTAAATTTGTTTTTTACACCCCTGGAAGTAATAAAATTTGGTGTATTGACTTAAATCTATATCTATAGCTGTCTTATTGTTTTAAATGGTGAATTACCTTTTCTAAATCATGATACAATTCTTTTGATTTCTTTTCTAAGGCCTTAGAATCACCCTGATCTTGTTCTACCTGAAAGATAACCAATATCAAGTACTTGACCTTTATACAAGTATTTCCCCAGCCTCAATCAAGTCATAATGCATAGTTACCTTGAAAATCATAAGCCAGTAAGTATTTTGAGAGAAGTACAAACAATACACACTTTACATTATACAGTCCTTTACCCTATCTTCTTTGTAGTATCTAATCAATCCAAGTTCAAGAGAATAAACGTCCTTAAGCAGTGGTGTGTGTGGTGAAAATTAACTAGATTCATAAAGATAAGACAATAGCAAAAAGATGTATACCGCTACAGTTTTGTGCAGAAAATCTAAAGCAAATTTACCTTACTATCATGTATTATCTTACCTGCTTCTGAAGAATTTTTATTGCTTCTTGTTTAGCATTAAGTTTCCTTTGGCAAGTTTCAAGCTCCTGTTTCAGTTGATCAACATCCTATTACACACATTGAAAAAAGAAACATGGCATGACTAATTCAATTTCGCTTGATTAATCTAAATGACTGACAATAATATAAAACTTAATTTATTATATAGGGTTATGAAACAAGTCTATAGCTTGCTGAAAAAATCTATAGTTTTATAAACAATCTTATTACCTCTAGGGCAATTGTCAACTTTCTTTCAATTTGGTCCTTTGATGGCTCTTCATCTTGTACATCTGAAGAGAAATGACATTTTGACTTACAAAAATACATTATAATCATGTCTTGCATAGAAATCTTTCTCTATATAAAGAAAGTGTATGTAATAAAAAATAAATGTGACAGTCTGAATTTGGCATAGTTCTGTCAAAACAGGTCTGTTAAAAAGAAAATTTCACTATACTGGCACAGCTAATGAATAATGACATACTAGTACGTGATGATCAGGTTTATTGTCTATACACTCCTATTTATGTCTTTGAGTCTTAGCATAACAGCTATAGGTGCCAATAAATATATTACAATCTTTAAATAAAAGTACAAAACTTTAATGCATGGAACTTAAAAGGATAACAACTGTTCATTCTGGCCAAAAAATAAATTTTNCTGGTGGTACAATAAACAACTTTAACCAAAAGAAAAGATGTGACTACTACTGATTCATCTTAGTAAAAGGAAATTAAACTCTCTGCAAAAATTTAACTCAATTTGGCTTTTGTAAAACAACAAACCTGCTGACATTGTGAGAAACCAAAAGCTCAATTCCAAAGCTTCTCGGAAGATATAGTTTAAGCTTTTCAAAATGAATATATTTCACACAGAAAATTATCCTCACATTGAAAAGAAAATGTAGGTTGTTTTACGAGGGTGAAATAAATTATAATGTATCAAAAAGAGCAAATAAAGTCTCTTGTTACCAGTGTTCCACAGAAATGAATATCAGAATATTAAAACAGACTTGGTTGGATTTGAGAAGTCATTAAGAAGATACTTTTAGAGCACACAGCTTAAAGGGTGCAGCAATACATACACAAACACATCTCAAGTACCACACAAAAGTAGTTTCATCTTAGAATGTAACAGATCTTCAGCAATACAAAATGGATGTTTTTACTGTTTGACTTGATACACAATTTTAAAAAACTTTTTGAAGACAAAAACCTGAAAATTCTAAAGCACAAGTACTGTTGCATGGTACAAATATTACCTATCACACTTTGTCTGTAGATCTTCCTCTCTCTTTTTCCTAACAAGTGGTTGTGCTTTAGGCTGAGAGAGAGAGTGCACCTTCTCCACCTTAGCCCTATCACCAACAGCATGTGGAGGCTAGCAATATATGGGGAAAAACTGCCAGTTCTAAACATAGCCACAATAAAAGCCACCAAAGCAGAAAAACAAATGCCAACAAAACACTGTAATTCATTAAATTAAGTGTCTTTTCTGCTACAAGTGAATATTCCTTTCACAGTTTTACTTAATGAAAGATATTTTTCACATTTCATTTGAGGTACAATTACTATAGCACAATATATACTCAAAACTTGTTTTTTATATCAGGGCAAATATCATCTCTAAGGCCAGACAAATTAGATATGTAGGTTAATAAATGGTAATTCTTTGCAAAGAAGGTCCATGAATGGAATTCATTTTTGCTTTCAATATGTTAACATATAATGTTGAGGGGGAGGAAATGTAAAATCCACTGTGTGGATAAAATTAAAAGCATTATTATTATTGAGGTGTTTCTGCATGGGTTCAAGGGTTTTCACACTCACCAAACCAATGTCCAATACGCCTTTTCCATTTGGAAAAAAAAAAAATGATTTCCTGAGAAATTAGGATCAGTCATGCTTGTTAACCAACCTATCAATTTTGTATGGCCTTAAGTATTTAAAAGATACACAATTTCCCAGATATAAAATTTCAGGATGCAGGAACATATCAAGCATGCACATGAGGGCGTATCGTTGCCACAACGAATTAATCCCTCTCCTCATTTCACTTCTGTGTGTTTTGCTAATAATGTTACCCCTCTGCCTTTGTATATGAATCCAAACTTCAATATTGCCCACTAAAAATAGTACACACTTTCAAGGCCTAAAATGCAGTGCAATAAAAATGCTGTAACTAGACCCCAAAGAAATATGCTGGCACAAAAGTCTAAGTTTGTTAAATCCAATGGAAGCGTGCTAGCATTTCCCAGTTCCAAAACCAAAGGCAGGTTTACATAAAGCAAGAGAACAGCCTTACCAAAATTCAATATCATATACCATTAAGTTAATCTTTTACAAGTTAGTGCTAATAAATCAGGTGCAAAGTACCATCTTTCTGTGAATGTTAGATCAAGCCAAGGGAGTATGTACACATACCACTTCTCAAATCAAGACAATCATGCAAGGCAAGGCACAGTAACTCAGTAAACAAAGCAATGCACATCATTAATTCAAGTGGGTTTGTACCTATTTAGCTTGTAAGCCCACTCTTGCTCACTAGCCACATAGTTGGATTGTTGGCATGCCAGCTCATACTCAACCCTGCTGATTTCCTGGAAAAAGCATTAAGTGATTGCAATCATGACTTTCTGAAACATCTCACAGCATATGCTGGTAGTCACTGCTTCTGTGAAATCCTGGAAATGCTGTGCAAGTAATTCATGCAGTTTTTATTTGGAAGGGTGTGTAGCTTTTTGGTGACAATAAGCCATCAAATGTGTGCACCTTTAGGTCATTTGGAGAGATTAATCATTAGGCGTTTTTTGTAATTCTTTATCAATTCTGAGTAAATAAATTGATTTCCTCTCCTAAAAATTTTCCTCTATAATAAACAGAATTCTGGATATAATCTCGTTGTACAAATACTCTTTGGTCAGACTTTCATATCAACAAAAAAAAAACAATTAAAGTGATTTTAAATATTAATTTAACATATCTCTAAAAAAAAATAATGCAATGTCACTCAACTAAAATGCAATATATAAAAAAATGAATATTTTAAAGCCTACAGATATGTTGAAAGGCTAGAGCACAGTTCATATTATGTTAAATGTGTGTAGATCATGCAGAATTAATTTGCAAACATTCTGTTGCAGAAGCAGGGACAGGTTTATCAAATAAATATACATGCATCCTAAGGTCACTCATGTATGATTCACTATTCTCTCTTATCAATCAATATAGTCTGGATAAGTACTGCAGTCAAAATAAATTACTCAGTATTATCTAAACTTACTTTAAATTTGTTTTTTACACCCCTGGAAGTAATAAAATTTGGTGTATTGACTTAAATCTATATCTATAGCTGTCTTATTGTTTTAAATGGTGAATTACCTTTTCTAAATCATGATACAATTCTTTTGATTTCTTTTCTAAGGCCTTAGAATCACCCTGATCTTGTTCTACCTGAAAGATAACCAATATCAAGTATTTGACCTTTATACAAGTATTTCCCCAGCCTCAATCAAGTCATAATGCAAAGCTACCTTGAAAATCATAAGCCAGTAAGTATTTTGAGAGAAGTACAAACAATACACACTTTACATTATACAGTCCTTTACCCTATCTTCTTTGTAGTATCTAATCAATCCAAGTTCAAGAGAATAAACGTCCTTAAGCAGTGGTGTGTGTGGTGAAAATTAACTAGATTCATAAAGATAAGACGATAGCAAAAAGATGTATACCTCTACAGTTTTGTGCAGAAAATCTAAAGCAAATTTACCTCACTATCATGTATTATCTTACCTGCTTCTGAAGAATTTTTATTGCTTCTTGTTTAGCATTAAGTTTCCTTTGGCAAGTTTCAAGCTCCTGTTTCAGTTGATCAACATCCTATTACACACATTGAAAAGAAACATGGCGTGACTAATTCAATTTCGCTTGATTAATCTAAATGACTGACAATAATATAAAACTTAATTTATGATATGAAAAGAAGTCTATAGCTTGCTGAAAAAATCTATAGATTTATAAACAATCTTATTACCTCTAGGGCAATTGTCAACTTTCTTTCAATTTGGTCCTTTGATGGTTCCTCATCTTGTACATCTGAAGAGAAATGACATTTTGACTTACAAAAAGGCATTATAATCATGACTTGCATAGGAATCTTTCTCTATATAAAGTGTATGTAATAAAAAATAAATGTGACAGTATGAATTTGGCACAGTTCTGTCAAAAAAGGTCTGTGAAAATGAAAAATTCACTATAATGGCACAGCTAATGAACACTGACATACGTGATGATCAGGTTTATTGTCCATACACTCCTATATGTGTCTTACAATAACAGCTATAGGTGCCAATAAATATATTACAATCTTTAAATAAAAGTACAAAAATTTAATGCATGGAACTTAAAAGGATAACAACTGTTCATTCTGGCCAAAAAATAAATTTTCCTGGGGTAAACAACNTGAATAATGACATACTAGTACGTGATGATCAGGTTTATTGTCTATACACTCCTATTTATGTCTTTGAGTCTTAGCATAACAGCTATAGGTGCCAATAAATATATTACAATCTTTAAATAAAAGTACAAAACTTTAATGCATGGAACTTAAAAGGATAACAACTGTTCATTCTGGCCAAAAAATAAATTTAATCTTCCCATTCTTTACAATTTCAACATTCAAAGTTAGCCCCTGTTTTTTTTCCTAAAAACTTTACTTTTTTTTTTGTAATACTCTCTCAAGAGATTATTACAGAGTATAGCCATATATAGAGGCCATGTGGTCCAATGACAAGCACATATTTCAGAATAATTGCTATAACAAGCGTTTTTGTGGTAAAGTAGAATATCTTAAATTACTATGAGTTGTTTACAATGTATTCATTGTGAAATATAGATCTCATACGAAGAGTTATTATCCCTTTACTTTGAACCAGATGTTGCGGGGGGGGGGGGAAAGGGGGGGTACAACTTGTACCAATGAATAAAAATGACTACTTGCTTTTCTGCTTCCTTCCAGTTGTGTAATTCATGCTCGCATTTTTATCGTAGATTTCCTTTAGATTCTGTTGACACAGCTGCCTGTGTTGTTTCAGAGAAGTTCCCATTGGAACGTCACCAAATTTAGGGAAACTTTCTTCAGCTCCCTTTCCAACTTGTGGCTTTAGCAGCTGTTCGGACTTTTCGCGACTGAAGAAGTTTGGAATTCTTTCTGATATCTTTGTTTTAATAGGAGTGTTCAGTGATTGGTCTCCGGGATCAGAGTATGCTCTTGTGAGCGACTCAACGAATGCACTTGTCGCTGGTTTATCTTCGCCTGATCCAGACTCGGAGGAAACGTTACCAGAACAAAAACCTTCGCCGAGGCCAAGATCTCCTCCTACATCGTCTTCTTCTATATATTCTTTCTTATCTTGGCCTTCATCCATCTTCGCTTATTGCACGTTCCTGCATCAATGATAACAAAGTCAATACACATACGGTGAGATACCAAAGAATTATTACATTTGCACTGGACTAGAAGTACGTGTTATGAGGACCCAAGCGCACCTGTTTCCGGTAGGAAGCTTTTGCGCGAAGAAAACATATCTTACAAAGATTTTGAAGGAGTATTTGAAATACTAATATTTAGAGGTACATAATAATTTTATCACCTTTTAAGACATATTATCATATTTGATTATGTAGTCAATGCAATGTATTGACAGTAGCTCAATTATTTAACTGTGTCACATCGCGGATAAATGTACTGTACAACTAGGTCAACTTATTTTCTAAGCTCGTGTGTCAACGCTCCAATCCATAGTATATAACAGTCATATAAGATTAAATGGCAGGTCGGATACCAAGTGGTTTCATCAAAAGTGCCTTACATAATGGCGTTGGAAGATATGTTAATCAGTGCCAAAGAATAACTCTAAAATTTTGTAAGGAGCACGGTGACAGCAGAGGCATGAGGTAAATCCATAATTAATATCAGCACATTAATTAGTGCTTGTAAATAATATTTAATTTACCAAGTTTGTTTGAAAAGTTATGTCATTATATTCATACCTGTGATTTTCACCTTTTAGAATGTAATATTTCACTATTACTGACTCACTGATTAGCACTGAGACATTAATATATGTCAGTCACAGAAAGAAGTACTGTAGTTAACAGCAAAGATATCAGTAGTGTCTAATGTACCTTGTACAAGTTGTAGTGATTTGCAGAATAAATGGAGTAATACATTTAAAATTAAAAAAGAATATTGGCTTGCCACAATGTGAAATGAAGTTTCACATAATGTCAGTGCTTGAATACAATATACGCTGTATAATATTATGAACAGCTTGTATATAATATTATTACCCCAGTATATATTACTGTTGCTAAATGCTAACCTAATATAGTCTCAAATAATGTTGGAAATCCAAGGTTTTTACTTGTTTTACTTCAGAATCAGACAACTGTGTCTGTTATGTTTTGTGTAAGACAAATTTTAGCTTGCATGTCTACAGTTATACATAAAGCTTAAATTGCTTTTTTAAATATACTGTACAAATGTCTCACTTGTCTGGAAGTTGCTGGCCAGGGGTAAAGAGTCAAGGTTAATTCCTTAGACAGGAAAGTGGATAGGAATCAAGAAATGTCTTTTAAAGTCATATCACTAGCTGCACTCCTAGATCAATGATTATGGTGATCTAAACATGTGTCTATGGTGACATACTTTTTCAAACAAGCAACCGATTGAATGTATTTTGATCTCCACATAATCCTTATTTCAGGGACTTCATAGAACAAGAGCTATTAGATTTTACTAGGAGTAACCCTGGAGTGGTGATGTACCTGCAACCAAGGCGACACAGGAAACCTGTTATAGTAGCAGAGTATTGTAAGTTTGGAATAAAAAGAATTTTTGAATTTTTAATGTTTATATTACTTGGCTCTAGCTATAAAGTCTCTCTCTCTCTCACACATTGATCTCTCTCTCTCTCTCTCTCTCTCTCATTGATAAAGGTTATTACTGTTCTCCTGTTACTTGTAAAATAAGTGTTCTACATACTTTGTTTTTCAGTAAATGGATACAAAGAAAACCTATATGTGCCCAACTACCCTAAAGATGAGATCTGCAAATGGGTGGAGCATTTGCGCTGCAAGCAAGGAATGACCCCTATGAGACTTAGAAAATACCAGCACACAGACAATCCTAGTATTCAGGGTATATGGAATCCATTTACCAATAAAGATCCCTCAGCAAATGTTACCACATATCCAAATCCTAATGTACGAGTCAGTGCACCAGAATCTGCCACAGATAGATTACTTAAATTAGCGCAAGAACTGAGGGAAAAAGACAACTGATATTTAACACTCTGCATGTTGACTACATTTTAGAAGGGAATGCCTGTGTAGGTGAAACTGTGGCCTGCTGAACTTGGTGTAAAGCCTGTCCGCACAGCAGAAATATTCCTGGATGTTGATAAAATAATATGGATGCAAAAAACACAGTTTCAGTGTCTAGTTGCAACAATATTACGGGTGTTCCCAGGTTGGATACAAAACGTTTGTACCCAATTTTTCAGTGCTGGTTAGCTCATAAGGCTATTCTTGAAAATGATTTGTGATTTTGTTAATGGCATTTCAGTGTGGTGCTTTTTCCAATGCTGACAAAAGTAGGTTAGCTTTGAACCCATATCTAATATACTTATTTTATTTTTATTTTTAAGTAAGGTGCATTTCCAACCTGCTTTATTTCAGTAAAAACGAGACTTCATATTCAAGAAAATGTATATAAATGAAAAGCAAAGAAACTAAATGATGTGTGTTTTGCCAGACATTTAATGCTGTGAAGATTTGTATTGTTAATCCATTTATAATTATCCAGAAACTGGGGGATTTTCCTTCTCCGTTTTCAAGATAGAAACGCAAAGCTGCTCAAAAACCAATCAGATATTTATAAAGGCATACTATCTGCCTTTAAAAGTGCTCATTTATATTTTCTTAGTCAACGTATTTTGAAAGGCTACTTATATTTCCAAATTCTGACAACAAAAACGATAAAACATGGCATAGAAGTACCTGTTATTGACGCTTGCTTCGGAATTTACAGGATGACATGGGGGGGGGGGTATGACTGGCCAGTCATATAGAATTAATTAATTCGAAATGGTATAAAAAACGAATCCAAGTGCAGGGACGGGTAGAACAACGTTTAGTGACTATGAAAGAAAATTGCCTTTTTTCGAAGAAAACGTTTTGGCGGGAAAATCCCAGACAGGATGCCTTTACCCGTTTTATAAACATTAAAAGTAAGATAAGACGCGAGTTGTATCGGAGTCGGGTACATTCGGTTTTCTAACGTGAAGTTTTGTTACAATCCAGTGGAGTTTGGTACAGTGATACTGGTGACATAAGGCATGCCCCGTCGTGTTAGACACGTGGACCAACGACCATTCCCTTTGGTGTCAGTGTGACTGATGTACTGGCGCGCCTATACACGATACAGAGTTTACATTGATAAATTACTAGTAATCATCAAAGTTTTGACGGCCACTGACGCAAATTGAGCACTGAAAGAGAAAACTCCCAAACATAATCAGGGTTAATCTCACTCCAAAGGAATCCAGCAATTTGTTTTGTCACTTTTAACCAATCCGTTTATATTGGTTGACTAACACTGACGAGCTCATAACTAAAACCTGTGGAAAACGAGTGTCGGAGAATAGTTTTACGTTAGGAGTTTATTGAATTCAGCAGTCGTCGTCTTTACTTTTTGGGACCGTCCTTTGCTTTAAAAAACATAATTAGACAAAGTCTAGTGACAAGAATAAGGTTCCAGGGCCCAGAGTTCGCGCAGAAGACAGGATAAAGCACATCAGCAACAACGATGACCAGAGCAAAGAAATTTTTTGCTGGATATATACTTTGTGTATTAGTTGTGTATTGTGGGTCAAGAGTAGTGGATGTGAATCAAGAAAAGTCACCAAAAGGTACTGATATTTTAAAACTTAAATAACATTATTAGTACTGAATTGAATAAAAGGCGCTCGTAGATTTCCAGCCTTTCATTAATACCTTTTACACCATTTTTTCTAACTTCAGGAGCGACTTTCATTAAGGCTGTCTTTTTAATTATCGAGCTGATAAGATTAGGCTCCTATGCCAACAAAAACCTCCAGGACTTAGTCTTATCGAAACAAGACATGTTAACTGCTATATTTTAGATACTTATATGGAGAGACGATCTATTCAAATAATTAGCAACGTGTCTTGCGCCGAGCTGACCCGTAAATATGCCACTCAAAATCTGACCGACGATGAGTTGATGGAGGTTTTAAAACAGAAAGGGGGCGAATATTTGACTGAGTATATGGCTAAGACCACTGAAGAAGCAAAGCTGATGTTCAGGCCGTTGAATAAGCCACATCGACCTAAGGTACGTCTATGGTTGTGTCAGGTCGTATCCCGTAGTTGTGGTGTCCTGTTTTAGATACCGAGGTGTGTTGATTTCTGTCCTCGGGCCTCATTACATGGATGGACAGCCGGTGACATTAATGATGCTTCATGCACTATGATTTCATTCTTGTCCAAAGGATTGGTCTGGCCGGTGCGGATGTCATTACTTGACACTTGATACACCCAAAAGACCTGTTATAGAAATATTTTTGACAGTGACAAAGGCGAAAAGTAAATTTGGCCATTAAATCATCTAAATTATTCAATGCATTACCAAACTCCAATGCTACTGGTGAATCACACGCGTACAACGCAAAACAGACAGCGGTGGATATCTTTTACAGAGAAAAATAAAATATAACTGTATAATGCACAATTTTTGGTAACCCTATTACTAAAATAAGTAGAATTTAAGAAGACACATTGTTTATGAAAATCTTAAAACGTAAACGTATTTAAAAATGAAATATGACAATAAGCTGCTAATATTGGTATAATTTTTACTTGTTAGCCCGGGAAACAGCCACCCAATCCTCCGCCAGGCCAGTTGACGCCCCCACCGCCGCGGACTGACCATGGACCGTATGCGCCAGGCATAAAACCAGAGTCAAGTTATTTAGCATCAAACGACTTAATAAAAATCTTTCGACAATTTGCAAAAATCCAGAGAAAGTGCGGCATGACGGTTGCCAAGGTCCCTGAAAATATAGTTTCGTATGATGGGACTTACGGTCGAAAGAAGCGTCAGAGCAATTCTGGCAGTGGTAGGTTGAATGGCCATAGCAAAGATATTTTCTCGACTGACATACGTTAGAACGTACAAATAAACAGAATAAATTGCGTACAATAACCTTTGGTAGTACGCAGAGTGAGTTTTAACTGTATTTTCGATATCTTTATGCATTTAAGGACTCCATGACGGGGCCCGGCTATCAAGACAAGGGGCGATGTGGGGAGACGGGGCGAAGTGGGCAATATTGTTACGCTTTTTTAAAATTACATACTTGTCCATTGTGGGTAGTAAGAGGTGATAGTTCATAATGAACAGTGAAAAGAAGCACAAAAAAGTTAATTATTCTATAAAAATTCCAGTGACAACGAATGGTTCGTGTGTGTACAGAGGCACCAGTGATGACGGTTATTTACAAATGTGCACTACTTGCTCTACAACTACAACATTGTCGGACTCCTACTTTCCACGAGTGCTCAACGAAGTTTCCTGTGGAGATGGTTCGTCGTCTACCAGCTCTTCGGCTAACGATAATGGCTGCTTGTTCGTATCTGGAACAGGTAATGTGGGGCAGTTGTGTTAGTTGAGATTGTGCTGTGTTACCTTGTTACTTTTCAATGCAGTTGTTTAATATGACCGATGGCCAGACCCGCATTTTACTATAAATATAACATTAATGACATTAATGTGTAGTGCTTCTGATAGATTTAATTGTTCAATAGATTAAATAATGCATCGATAGATTACCATTATGCAAAGTCAGCAGAGAGGGTTTGGTCCGTATGTAGAAATTATATTCATTCAAGATATGTACTTTGGTCTACTTTCGTCTGGCTGTAAAAAGTATAGCAAAGTAATAAACAAACATGGGGAGTCAGTGTCCTTAAAAAGAACACCAAACTTTCTTATGGCTTAGGTCCCTATTTATTCGACAATGAAATGCGGGATTAATTTATCTCCTTCCTTTGGCCAATTAGGCTATTACGGACAGAGTTTTGACGTTTTTATCAGAAATTTTTCTTTTTCTCTTATCAAATGTGGTCAGTTAGCGTTTGGAATTCGACACATTTCAGCAAACGGCCAGTGTAGGCAGCAGTACATATACGTGAACATGTTGCGCAAGACGGGCAAGTGTAGCTTGGTCACCAACTCTGACGGCAATGCAGTGGCTGTAGACGAGTGGGAGCTGTACACGCAGCCAATTCACGTCTCCTGTGAATGCATGGTGGATGAAAGATCGTTCTTATCTAACTTCGTTACCACATAGTCATGGAGTACAAACTTTATTAACCCACTGATTGCTGCGTTTCAGTGAATTTGAGGTTAATTTTCATTATATTTTTCACTTTTGAAACTAGTTTTGTGCACTGTTTTGTCCAATGCCTGTGTAAAATACAATTATCAGATTTCGATTTATATGTGAACTAAGATTTATCTCCTAATTCTTCTATGAAGCACCCAAGTCTCAAAGTACCTGGTTTAATAGGCATAACTAAATCGCTGAAATTGCTTAATACTGTGTTTCTGTCTCTATATTTTGCTCAATTTACGAGTGCTTCTTGCATGTGCTCTAATTTCACAAGTTCTCAGTTGTTCAAACAAATCTTCAAGAATGTTAAAATAAAAGTTGCCACCCTTTTTGATCAAATGTATTTTGTAACTGCAATAATATTATATGCAATAAAATGATAATAATCTATACTGATATTTATGTTGAAAACTGAACTGTTTCCGCTCGAAAATAAGACAAAAAAAATCAAATGTATTTTCGAAAGTGCCAAGGAAAATCTATTTTTTCCGATTTGGTCGTGGCAATTAATTGTAGAGAAGTAGTGGCATTCTAGTAAACGGCATGCGACACAGGTCTCATTTTAGATTATAAGTTTGTTTATACCCTTGCCTCTGAAACACAATTTGTACCTCATGTAAACTACAGAAAATAATTAAATTGGCAACGTTTGCTTAAAAGGAGAGAAAACAATACTAACAATATTTATGTTTACTGTTTAATCAATATTGTCGATATTACTCACAAGAAATTGAGTTAACATAAAATTGCAATAATAGCACCTGAGTTGCACAGAACAGATTGTCAGTATTTTTATGTACCAGTGCCACTGTACTTAGAGCACTAAATCTTTGTACAATGTACAATCATAATAAATAAATTAATTACAATTAAATCATTACATGATTATGTACAGATATATATATATAAATTAATTGCTTTAATGTTCAGAAAACATTTGTCAGCCTGAATGCATACAGTAACCTAGGTTGAGTCCATTATTGCCATGAACATTAAACATAACCAACATCAAAAATAACCGAAAAATGCTAAATATATATTAGTGTGGTCAATCGAACAACGCAACAATGATACATCCATGAAAATAAATTACTCGACAATTAACAAAATCCATAAACAAAAACAAGAACTCCTACTCTAATCTATGTGGCATCGATAAATTACCAAAACAGATATCTATAATTAGTTGTAAATAAAAGAATGAATTCTTTCCTCAATTTATGTGACCATTTTTGATCTCAACTGATCAAGACAATATACCGATGTACATCAAAGTTTTCTCAATTAGCATGACAGATATAACATCGACATAAATTTTTGAAACAATAAAATCTACGCACAAACAACACACCTCTCTCATAGTCGATCAAATAAGCACTTAATTACAAGGATGATGACACGCAGATTAAGCTGTGCATAATCAAACCTTATGTCAACTTGGAGACATTAATGGCTGGAAAGTTCCAAAAAAATGTGCATGTCCATCTGGAGTCAAAACGGGACTGACTGGGGAACCAACATCACCGAAAGAAAAGTCAAATTTGGGCATATGATTAGCACAACTACTGTTTAAAAATCCAAGTGGAGAAACAGTAGACGATGGAAGACCTGGGTAACTGCAAACAATCTGTTTGTTGAATTCTTCTAACTGCGACATGAAGTTGAGATTCGGTGCTATCACGTTTCGACGGGTTTTCACGTGATTGTAGGCCTCGTCCAAAGAGCACTTTTTAAACTGCATCACGTACGCGATGCAGATCGTGGCGGATCGGCTAACACCCGCATGGCAATGGACTAATACTTTTCCGGAAGCTGATCTCACTGAATCTGAAAAATATACAATATATTCTGTAGCAAACAACTAAATTGCTCACTATGAATAGTAACATATCGTCACCAGTCATTCTAAAATGCTGGCACTAGAGAATAACAACTCGTGTAAACACGATGAATCACCTATGGAATTTACTTATTTGTCACAAAATTAAATTTCCTCCAAACAGAAATGGCGTGTTTATACTGTACTTGTTGACGCGTGCCATACAACTGGAATCAATCTACTAGTTTCGAAAATGTGTGTGACCTTGTAGTGTTAATAACGGGGTTTACTGAAGCGTTTCTGCAAAATTAGATGTCATGGGGAACTCGTGCCGTTTGGGAACCGGTAATAGGTGGCGCGAGTTAGTGTGTAAAACCTGCGGCGGCCAATTTGTCTCCGCGCAGTAGTTCGCCTTATTATCTCATTAGCAGGCAGGTACGTCTCCAATAAAGGTACAAAAACAAGATAACTACCTCTATAACTGCGCAAGATCAAATTAATGTACATCCGACTGCCATTAATTTCCGTGTGATAAGGAAGGGTTACAAAACACCGGAAACGACCAAAATCGGCTAAAATAGTGAGTGTCCTTTTTCAATAAAATCGAAGATCTGTAGCAGGAAAGGGGAATATTAAACGAAATGGACCGAAAAGGTCACGAGAAGTAAGAATAAATGGACTTCCTGTTCTTTCATTAAAAAAGGTAAACAAGGGGTTTATTGGAGATTTAAATAAGTATTTGTGGTCATCACAGGTAATATTTTGCCTTATGTCCTGTACACCGATAGGACCGAGGGGAAATTGCTCTATCGTGGTACAAACACTGGTGTTGTTACGAAGGTAAATGCCACACATAATGGAGATGCTTTAATCTCATATGCGGTTTACAGGATGTGTTGCTTATTTCGCTCATAATTAAGTACAGAGATGCACGCCTATCCCCTCTTCAAAAGCAAGTAATTGATAGAACCGACTGACGCTCTTCATTAACCGCAAACGCCTCGCAGAGAGATGCGCCGCTAGTTCAAGGTGGTAACATATTTCTAAGGGACCTCCACAGTCAACAAATTTCGTTTTCCTGTTTACTCAAAGTTTGAGCCAGTTGCGCTAAATGCCAAATTAAACGAGCTGAATGCCAAATGGGCACAGGTACACCCGACTTACCTATGAAATTTATTGCATCCTGAAACCACTTCCCAATCTCTGAAAAGCTGTCGTCGGCGACTGGTATGGTTTTGTACAGAAAGCTCTCCGGGAAATGGTTCTGGCAACTGTTGGATACGTTGAGCAGAGCCGTTATCCCCGCAGCACGCAGTTTCGACTTCTGAGAAGCATGAACTGAACTGCCCAGATATAGCCAGGGTAATATCTCCACTGCTTCTCCCTGAACACGTAGAAAGTAAAAAGTCTGCATTCAAACAAATACATCGCATCTTTATATCTTTACACACAATTTTGATCAATATTTATAGAATACCTACTCCCACTTCAAATTCAAGTTTAACAAACTAATGTTTTCACCAATAATGAATGTAATCTATTTAACGAGGAGCTTTATCGCTTTTGAACAACTTCTGTTAATCATAAGTTATTTGATTATAAAAAAATACAGTTTCATATCTCTAAAACTGATAACTATTTTTCAGTTGATAATTACCCGAAAAAACTCGTCAGTTAATCTAAATTCCTTTCCACAAGATCGGGGGGAGTCCAGTGTACTTCCTGATGAAGGAGAACTCGGTTTCACACAAGCTTGAGGATACTGACATGTAAATGCATCGTATCCGCCTGAAATATGAGGAATTATAAGGGTCAATGACAAGAACTATATATATTCCTGATACGAATTTAATATTTCACATGAACTAAGACAGGATTAACACACACGCGAGCATCGCTTCGAATAATGTCTGTGGGGAATGTGAAGATAATGGAGTGCATAAAACTTAGATTTTCGCGAAAACCTTATAAACTATGCACTCTCCTATTGTATAATCTGCGTTTAGGATAAAAATAAGATCAGTCTCATCAATATTCCCCTTGGTTAATAACATCAAGGGATGGGCAGTCGTGTTCATGTAGCGTACAGAGTACCGTCTATTATTTCACAGGTAGGATACGTAGCTAGCGTGGTGGTACAATGAATGTTTGATAATGTGTCTTTTTTTCACAACAGACCAGCAAACAGGAAAAGCTTCGAATCACAAATGGACGCTGCAAACATGTCACCCTGTCCATGAATGGCGTGGGAAGTGCGCTTCACTGAAAAGGTTATTTATTGGGGCAAAGATGCAAGTAGGTCAAGAAATGATTTGCCAGCGCAAACGATCGAACAATAAATATTGGTTGTAGAGAAGGGCCACGCTATCCCAACAGATTAGTTATCCTAGATTGTACACGCAAAACATGTGTAGCCACCTTGTACGAAACTCCGAAAAACCCGTCGGTCACCGCTGTAAGCACCATCTGGCGTGAATCTCAGAGTTATCGGATACTTGGAAATCGATTTACAGCTGCAGAGCATAAACACTCAAGAATCAACTGAGATGACGGGTTTTAGCATTTAGGGCAGTTTTTCCAATAAATCACCACCAACATGGAGAGTAAACAGGAAACTGGTTATTATCAGTCCGTCTTCTAAATGAATTACGGCAGGATATTGTGTTTGAATTACCTGTCGACGCGCGTTAAGACGGGAACCTGACCTGCCCCCGCCCCCAAAATATCCTTATGTTCGGTAGTTTTTCAAAGTTAGTACAGGTAACTACCAGGCTAGACATTTTTCAATTAGGTGTTGTAACCCCCCCTGTACCTCTGGCGCTATACCATCGTTCTGCCGTATTACATAAACGAAACGCCCACTGCAATGTGCATATATAACGACCTAAGTCTAGTCACTTTTACTGTCTGAGAAAAATTTCACAGCACACTGCAAAATGCGAAAATCTTTACCAATATCTGCTCAGTCGAAAATGGACATGAACATTGGTCAATAGGAACGACAGGACAGCAGAGGATATTCTAAATTCCGTAAAGTGTACTAAGCATCAGTTGAACGGATAACATAATTGTTAGGAAACCGCGATGTTATTCTTTATGAGAGTCACTCATTCCAGAGCGCCCTGGTTGATCAAGCATGAATTCCATGCTTCCGATACCAAAACACAACTTACGTTTGGTTATCTTATCTTTCCGTAATTTGATATGGCAAAGAATAACCACCCACAGGAAAATGAGAATTTTGAGCCCACAGTACAAAAGTAAAGTATGCAATCGGATTACATAAACATAATGCATATCAAGATAAATTTTTTTTAAGTATACAAAAAGGATCACTGTATTAACCATTTTATTTTTGGAATTGAAGAAAAAAAAAAACGCTTCTTGAAAATTATCCACTTGCTCGGGAGAGGCAGCGTGATAGTTGACATGCAATTAGCGCCTCTGTCATATTTCCTGCACTCTATTGATGTCGCTCCTTAATTTCCCGGAAATAGGAAATGCATTGTCATAGGCATCACACTTGTAACATTATTGTCGGTGGGCTGCAGAAATAGGGATTGCTCAGGGAACGCAGCGGAAGACCAATAAAATATTGGATAATTATATCTATCACAGAATCTATATCTAGTAAATAGGATATTAAATCCTGGGTTCCTCCGAGATTTTCTATTACACAGTCATATGATCAATACGAATAGTGCTCATGTAAATTTGTTATAAAAAGGCCAAATCTTAAAAAATTCACGAGCGTAGTTCTATGCCA